TTGAGGCGGCGTTGTATCCAACACCAACTTGAAACGGGGCAACTCAATTTTGGAGAGGTCCGGGTTAACCATGTTGATGCCTACCACGTTGGGAAATGGGTCAGTATCCAACAACATGGCATCCTTCTTTGGCTCTGGGAACTTGATACGCCCCTTCTCAATAGCATCCTGCAAGATATTACGGAAAATCACACATGAGTCAGTGGCATGTGACATGCTGTTATGCCACTTACAATACTTCTTTCCTTTTAATTTCTCGGGTGGTGGTATGTTATGCCCCCCAGTTAACTTGATCTGACCATCCTTGTAGAGTTGGTCAAAAATCAAGTCAGCTTTCGAGACGTCAAAGGAGTAATTGCGTGGCTGGATAGGGGCCCTATTGGGTCTGCCCCCTTGTGGCTCATTTTCAGCCTTAGCCAAAGAAGCACATACATATGGCTCTCCTGGGGCTAATTCAGCCAGATCTACCTCCACCTCATTAGCCTCTTGGCCAACATGGTTAACAGGGTAGTTGATTGTGGGGAAGTATTACCCCCTTGATGCACTCCTCCTATTCTCCTCTTCTTGGAGAAGAGACTCATATCTCACAGAACAAGACATGAGTTGGAACAAGTCCGAGAACTCTCTGTCCTGGAATTTCTTCCTTAACTCAAAGCTCAAGCCCCCTTGAGCAGGCTTGACAAACTCCCTCTCTGTCAAGTTGACAAAGCAACGGTTACGAGCATTCTTGAAGTTAGTCAAAAAATGCTCAACCGACTCCCCTAGCCGTTGGCACATGCGTGCCAAGTCAGCCATTGAGACCTCGGGCTCAGATCTATAGATTTGGGCATGGAAAATTTGTTCCATCTGTTGCCAAGTTTGGACAGCGTTAGACGACAAGTTGACATACCATGCAAAAGCTGGCCCCGTCAACGAATTGCCAAAAAGCCTCAGCTTGACAAAGTCACCCACATCTCCACATTGGACAGTAAACCGTCCCACATGTTCAACAGTGGACTGGTCACCAGTACCCGTGAAGGTGGCAAACTCGGGCACCCTAAACCCTCTTGGGAATGGGTATAGCCTATCTACCCATTCCGGGTAAGGCTTACGGTACACAGGTGGCATGGTGGGCCTTACTTCTAAACCAAATTGCTCGGTAAGGAGTTGAGCCACCTGATCCCTTAGGGCATTAGCATCATGCCCCCCTTGCCCCCCTGGCGGTACGAACCCCATGGGGTCCATACCATGCCCATGGACTTGGGGTGGTATGGGTGCTGGGTAAGCACGTGGGGGAACTTGATCCCCAACACCTAACCTTCCTCCCCCACCCATGTTAGGAGGAGCTATGTAGGGTCTCGCCACCGGGATGGATGGCGGTTGTTCAACGTGGGTGTTGAACGTAGTGGTAAAATGTTCGCCTCGCCGAGGCAGTTCTCCACCTCCCAGGTTAACTGAAGCCTCCACTTGAGTGGTGGCGGGAATCTCGTCGCGATTCACGTGGTGAGAGGTTGGTTGGGTTGTCACCGGCGGCGATAAGTTATCTTGTCGTAGTTGGCCATTCCGGCCACCGACGGGAGAAAAATTTGCATTGTTTGGAGTTGAACTTGTGCCATCAATTGGCAAAGCTCGTGATTGTACCACTGGTGTGGTCAAAATTCTCCTAAACTCATCAAAATCATTCCTATTTTTAGTTACAATTTCAAAAAGTTGACTTAACCGCTTATCTACACAGGAGTTAAGACAATCAAGTTGAGAATTTACCTGAAGAGCGTTGCCAGCCAAAGTTTCCTCCATGAATTGGCAAAGTGACCCAATGGCAGCAACTACATCAGCGTTTAAGCTTGGTGCCGGCGGCGGCAAGGCTTCCCTGCCGTCATTGTCACCGGAAACCGCTTCAGCTAACTGGCCATGTTCAATGTTGGCCACTTGCTCCTCCACAAACCCTGGCGGAGCATCACTTTCCTGATTCTTTCTCCTAGGATCCATCGAATCAAACACACAGGGTCCCACCAGGTGTGCCAATTTGTTTTCCGGCGAGGAAAAACTGGTGTTTGAACTCAATAAATGCATCTTTGACTTCTTGAACAACGATTCTAAACACAGTTCACTCCTCTCCGAACAATGTTCAAACGAGGGTGTTTGATGTTTTTGATGGTTTTTTGGAAACAATCTAAATTACTCTACTCCTATGGAGGTTCACTGAGAGCTCCGAAAGACTAAAAGCTGATTTGCAGAGAAAAGATAAATTTTGACATTGTGCGTCAAATGTTTGGTTGTGGAACCCTTGCTTCTTCTTCGTTTCTTCTATTTATAGCCACTAGGAGTAACTGCCTTGGTAACTGCTACTCCATGATGAAGTCTTGATTGCACCCTCCGCTGCTTTATGACTCCCCACTCTTGTCGTATTGAGACGACTACCATATCATGACACCAAGTCCTCCTCCTTAACTTGTTGGTTGTTACCAAGCCGTCTCTTCGGCTTGATACCTTCCGGCATGCCACCAAGTCCATGTAATCAACTTGACAACCCTTGCTACCAAGCCAATCCTGGTGGCTTGGTCTCCATACTTAGTTTTTGTAGCCTCGTCAAGTGGTAAGTTGCACCCTGCCGGTATCAAGTTCGTCTTGTTGGCTTGATATCCAGACATAGTTTCTGTATGACTCTCTTAGTTACCTGGCTTGGCCCCCTGTTGCCTGGCCACCAAGTCAGTCTTGCCGGCTGCCTAGCCTGCCTGGTACCCCCTTAGCTCCATACTTAGCCAATTTTTATATCTTTTGGTATCAAGACTACCTTGTCGGCTTGATACCCCTTTTGCTTCATACTTAGCCAAATTATATATTTTGGTACCAGGCCCTCCTTGCCGGCTTGGTACCCGGTCATTTGGCACCCCGTTGTGTCGCCTTGTTTTCATACTTAGCCAAATTTCTTACTTGGGTATCAGGCCTGCCTTGTCGGCCTGATACCCTCTTGTTTGGCCCCCGGTCGTTTGGCACCCCGTTGTGTCGCCTTGGTTTGGTACCCGGCTTGGTACCCGGCCGTTTGGCACCCCGTTGTGTCGCCTTGTTTCCAAGACTTAGTATTTGGAGGCCATATTTCCTACCAAGGGGCGAAGCGCGTCGTCCGGCTATGGGGCCAAGGAGACTGGGTCGGCCATCATGTAGGGAAGAAGGGGCTTGGCCACTTAGGCCCAAAAATCCAACCCAACTAGGCCCAACTGGCTCTTTTAATTATTAATGTTGAATTGGCCTTATAAATCCATTGAATTTCTTGTAGTTAATCGATGTGGTACAAGCTGATTTTTTATGGATAAACACGTAGTTTTTCACCAGGTTATGCACTTCCTCTTCTAGGGAACCTGCTGGCCATACCTTCACATTTCATTGGTTTTCGTTTTGGTCCAAAATGAAGAGAGGGAAACTTATGAGACTCACTGAACCAATGATAGTGTATAAGGAAATGAAATAAGATCCCCATTTTATTTGAACAAATAGGTTCTTGCACACTCTCATACATGTTCATGGGTAATTTATGTGTGGATTGTGGATCAATATTCTCTTACCCACACTTAATGGGTGGAAGATGAGTGGGTTGCGGTTCACCGAATGACCCGCACTCTATCTTTACATGGAAAATAGTTGTTTATTATTTATACTAACGAATAGTCATTGTATTTCTTAATCACTACTACACTGACCAATGACTTCTAAAGGCAGAAAATAAAGAAATTGTTGGGCTACTACTATTGATTTCTATGTTGGTGTAATGTCCATTAGATATTGAGATAAAAATTATAAACTATTAATTGTATCAAGTGGCAAAAAAAAAAAGTGAGCTTTCTTTGCAGAATTGATTGATAAAGTATTGAAAGATTTGATATAGGTACTAGACATCTCTGTAGGGGATAATTGGTGGGAGGTATCTAAATTTATGTAATTTACTATGAATTTGTTATAAATATTAGTCACATTGCTTAATTACTAGTTGAAAAATTGTGTTTGTGGATTAACCCATAACTAGGGATTGCAATTTGAACCCGCCCGCCAGACCCAACTTGACCTGCGATGGGACGGGTATTACCCGACCCGTTGTAGCGTGGGGCGGGACACGGTATCAACTTTCGTCCCGCCCTGCCTTGCCCCGCCCCGCCCGTTCTTGGCCCTTTCAAGGTCAATTTCTTATGATATCCATTCATATATCTCATATTTTGACTTTTAGTCAATTAGTTATACTTGATTTTTCAACTAAATAGACTCAATTACACATTATATTAACACCATTATTTAATCATGAAGTCTTTTCCCCTTCGTTTTGTCGTAAAAAGTAAATTTTTACTTGTAATTTTTCAAATAGCATGTAATAGTAGGTCGACCGTCCCGCCTCGTACCCGCGCGGACTCGTAGTAGCATGGGGGGACATGGGTATTGAGGTATCCTCCCCGCCCCGACCCATTACCATCACTAATGACCCACAACCCAACCGCACTCATACACCATCACCCAATCTAACTCAAAATAATGTATGAGTGAATTGCGGATCACAATTATATCAACTCATTAGTATGGGAGTGTATCAATTTAGTTTAACAACCAAACTTACACATTAACCACCTCTAACGGCTAGCATGTTTGTCGTTACGCACGCACCTTAGTGATCTGCAGCAAAGCTAGCTGGGCTTCTATTCATGGGCATGGGCCTGGCACTTGGTACTTCTCTTGGCATTAATTGCTGGACCGATTCTAAGTAGACCCAACATATCTGTTATCCTAATCTGACTAAATTAGCCTAATGTGATAATTAAGGACTCATGTTACATGATAATTAAGGAGTTAGAAAGCTCACAAATTTTATCAAAAAGAAAGAAAGAAAGCTTAAGATAGAAATAGTGAATTTACTATAGAGCGACTGGATAAACAGAGGAAAGAAAACTGAAAGAAGCAAATTTAAAAACAAGCATTCAAGCAAAATGAAGTTATTGATGAGAGAGCCAACAATACCCAAATTATCTATGCCTGCATTACCCGCCAAATGAACTTTATAAAGAATAAACTTGGATTTTACGCAATTAACAATTCTGATCAAGTTACATTGAGAAAATCATTACATCGATCCGCAACTTAAATTCAGTTCCCAAATCGAATAGTTACACTTTGCAAACTCCTAATCATAACTCTACAAGGGACTCGAAACTGAGCTCAGCGGCCGGTGTCGGAACCAGCCAACACGGCGGTGGGTCGAATTTGTCTTCTTCAAACTCGTCATCAATCCTCCTAATCTTCCCCTCTCTCAAATCAAACACCCCGATGTCGTGCCCTCCGTACAAGTAATCCTCATCCATCCGCTCCCAGCCATCGTCGGTGTAGTATATGGAGTCAGCCGCAATCCCACCGCCGGCGGGGACCGAAACAGAGTCACCCCCGCCCAAAAACAGAGCCCTCTTCTCCTCGTCGCCGGCAGCGCCTCTCAAGTTCGCGGCACGCACCCATCTCCCCCCTTCAGCATCCATCTTATACACCTCGAACCCCACCGTCCGGTACGGGCAGACCGGCGGGTGGTTCGACCCTTCCTCCGGCACCATCTCGTCTTCGCCCACCACTTTCCCTTCTCCGTCAACAAACTCCCCTACAATCCTCGCCACCAAAATCGGCATGGCGTCATCATCGCCACCGCTCACAATGTAGAACCTAGACACGCAACCGTCTTTCTCCCCGACCGGAAACTGCTCCGGAACGGACGGCGCGAAGCTCGTCACTTTAAAAGGGGAATCGGAATCCTCGTGCCTGATGTTCCACACGTCGACGGAGAAGTCTCCACCCAGCGCGAAGAGAAACCCGCGGTCGGAAGTAGAAACGTCTTGGTACGGCGCGGAATCGTCTCCCTCGAGTTCCGCCCATGAGTAGTCGCTGAACGGTGCGCAAATCGAGATCTGCCGGTCGCCGCCGGAGAGGAGGACGGCCGTGAACCGGCTCCGGCTCTCGCAATCGCTGGGGTCCGATGTGAGGATTGCCTTGTGAACCACGTATTCGCGAATTATTCCGGTGGTGATTGGGATCCCCGATTTTCGGACCCGGTGGAAACAGGGGAATTCGAAGTCGAGTTTGGGGAGCTGGCGTCGGGATCCGGTGAGAGGGTTGAAAAGGAAAGGAAGGAAGTAAGGAGAGCCGGAAGAGTAGTAGTCGAGGAGGATGAGGCAACCGTGAGAAGCTCCGACGCAGAAGCTGGATTGGTTTTGTTCGGAGAAGGCTTTGGTGGCGTGGAGGTAGCCGTCGGCGGGGTTGTAGAGGCGGGTGTGGGAGCCGTCGTCGCATTTTATGCCGTCTAGCTCGTCGGCTTGGGGCGGTATCCAGAGCCAGGGAGTTTTCGTGTTGAGGGGAGATTCGGGAGCAGCAGAGCGCCATCGTTTGCAGGCCCACTTGGCTCGGGCCTGGTCCACGAATTTCAGGCGGCCCAAGATTTCGTGGAGCAGCTCGCAGGGGAGACCGGCCCAATCTGAGGACGGCCTTTCTGTTCTCGTTCGCTTGGAGGTCCTCTCCGCCTTCTTAGAATGGTGACGAGATTTGCGCTTCATAGTTGCGGCCATTGCTGGAGAGATCGATCGGCACAAAGTGAAATGGTTGTGTGAGTTTATGTTTATATATGGGGAGCTTGTTTCTTTTGCCGAATAGGAGTAGGAATTCCGGAGACGGGGATGTAAAGTACGTAGTAATCCTTCTTCAAGTAGGTGTCCGTATTTGGGTCGGAAGAATTGGACGCCACGTGACGCCTAGAATAATTATTTATTAGGAGTATCTACTATTATTGTAGCTGTTATTTGGATATTGTTCGGGCTAGATTATTATTGCTCATTAGAATAATCAGTCTTTATATAGTTAGTATGCTCGATAGGAGTTTGAGAGGGAAGAGGATTATTAGAACCAGGAGTTAGTATTACAATCGGAATATATCAAGAACACTCCGATGGAGAAGTACTATAAATACTTTTCATATTCCTCTGTAATTTGTAATCTTCTCGATATAGGGAAATTGGCTCTTTCTCGCCCATGGACTAGCTAACACACATCGTGTTAGTGAACCCCGTAAATCGTGGTTCGTGTTTTCGATTCTTGCTTTCTCGATTCCGACGATTTCCCGATCCGCAGCAGCGCGTTTATAACAGAAGGCATGAACAAGGAGTTTCATGGAGGAAAGCTCATTACATTAATATGCTTTGTGGATCAAATTCAAGAGAAGATGGGCTTGGAAGAAGGAGAAGAGGATTCGGCCTAGAAGAACCTCCCATGTTGTGAAATGAATACAACTGTGAAAGGAACCACAGGTGTGAACACAAGGGGGCGGATTTGAAGGCATGGATTAAGGGTAGTGTTTTCCGGCGAGGAAAGGCTGGTGTTTGAACATAATGAATGCACCTTCGACTTCTTGAACAATGAAGCTAACAGGATTCACTCCTCTCCGAACAATGTTCGAACGAGGGTGGTTGATGTTTTTTTATGGTTTTTGGGAACAATCTAAGTTACGTTACTCTACTCCTATGGAGGTTAAGTGAGAGCTCCGAAAAAATAAAAGCTGATTTGCAGAGAAAAGATAAATTTTGACATTGTGCGTCAAATGTTTGGTTGTGGAACCCTTGCTTCGTTTTTGCTTCTCCTATTTATAGCCATCTCTTGTAACTGCCGTGTAACGGTCTCTAGTTAACCGCTTCTCCTCTGCTTGGTGCTTGATGTAGCTTACTTGACGCCTTGACTGTCTTGCGTGCTTTCCACTTGATACATTGCACATTGATGACTTCACTTGATGGCTAGCCCCTTGTGCTATGGAGGTGTCTTGCTTAGTGAGTGAAGACTTCACGCTTGGTGGTACTCGTGCTAACCACCCTGACATGACGTCAAGGGGCTCGGGGGTTGATGGATGCACATTGATCCCCATGGGGTGGCATCATGCTTGCAATGTCTTGACAAACTAGTCTACCACGTGATGATATACATGACTGACCACTTAGAAACTTGATGACCTTGCACGAGACCTAGCATGCCTGCTCGGCTTGGGTACTTGAGAGGTGAGTGTCAAAGTAATGCCGACACCAACTCTCCTTGCACGGCCTCATGCTCGACACCAACTCTCCTTGCACGGCCTCATGCTCGACACCCTAATGTTTGGTATCCGGTGCTTGACCCCCTTGGACGGTATCATGCATGACCCCCCTTGGATGATGTCATGCTCGACCCCCCTTGTGGTCGGATCTCCATACTTAGCCAATTTTCACCTTCTTTTGCCGCATCATGTCTAGGGGTACTCGTGATAGCTCTCCTTGCACGACATCATGCTTGACACCCTAGCGCAAGGTAGGTAGACGACATACTGCTTGACCCCCTTGCATGACATCATGCTTGACCCCCCTGGGATGATATCATGCTTGACCCCCCTTGTGCTATGGGTCTCAGCACTTAAGCCAAATTTTACCTTCTTTTGTCTCATCACTTCTAGAGATACTCGTGATAGCTCTCCTTGCACGACATCATGCTTGACACCTTAGCGCAAGGTAGGTAGACGACATAGTGCTTGACCCCTTTGCATGACATCATGCTTGACCCCCCTGGAATGATGTCATGCTCGATCCCCCTTGTGCTATGGGTCTCAACACTTAGCCGAATTTTGCCTTTCTTTGCCACCACGGTCCAGGGACTTGTGTTGCTCTTCTTCCCTTGCCACATGCTTGCTACTAGGGGTGGGCATTGGTGCGGTCCAAACCGCTCCGCCTGCTCCAAATCGCTTATGCAGTCAATCCAAACCACACCATTAACATTGCGGTTTTATTTGCGGTCTGATCCTAAGCGGTTCGCGGTTTTGTGGTACGGGTCGACCGAAACTGCGTAGTTGCGGTTCAAAACCGCAAACCACTAAATCTCTACCCAGCTCAGCGAGGGATTCTCAATTCATACCATTACCAGTTCCCCAACACAAGAGCAAGCCTTGTTGGCGGCGCCATCTATGATTCCTCCCTCTCGACTACCTACCCGACACCCGTTATCTCCTCCATCCCGACTCTCGATCTATTCGTGCCTCTCGACGACGTCACGCACTACTAAGAGGCGATAGCGCCAGCGCCGACGATTCCTCTCAAGTCTCGACTACCTGTTCTTGCCTTCGTCCCGACTTTTGATCTCTTCGTCCCTCTTGATGTCGCCCACCACCAAGAGGCGAGAGGGCTAGCGCCGACGATTCCTCTAGAGTCTCGACTGCCTGTTCTGGTACTCTCTTTCTCCCTCCTTATTTCCTTAATCGGTCTCACTGACCGACCCGCCGAACCCTTTGCCCCTTCGTGGGTTTCCTACTAGGCTTGGTGGATTGATTAGAGTCTAGATATTAGGTATACTATGGTAGATTGATTAGAGTCATATATTATCTCCAGGGTACTTAGTTCTGATTAGAGTCATAAAACATCAAAACCAATTGAACCCAGATGATAATCTGCAGAGCTATTTCCTTCATTAGTACTCTGATGCAGTATTGGTACTTCCAGCAACTTGTTAATGCAGAAAATATGTTATTAGATGCATTTGGGAACCTGAAGGTTTCAAATTTTGGTTTAAGTGCACTGTCACAGCGAGGGTAATTAAAAGATCCATGTTTCTAACTGTTTTCTTTCAAATTCAATATCAAGCAGTTGGTAAAAAGAAGATATTATCTGCAAAATGAAATCAAAAAGCTCGCAGGGAAAACGAGCTCAAGCATCGGTATCTAGTGAGGTGAGTTTCTTGAATATGATTACATTCTTAAGCGGGATTTGATGTGTGTGTGTGTGTGTGTTTACTTATGTGGTGGATGGTTGGGGTTATTGAAGGTGCAGTTTTGACTCTGTAGCATTTGGGGTTGTTTGCAACGCAAGAAACTGCTGGAAGTCATCAAGGAAACAGTATAGACACATATTTTTAACAAGAAATGCCCTCATGTGAGCATATTCTCCTAAAGAATACACGAGTATACTTGGTCGAATTTTCACATTGTTTTTGTTATAGTCATTGAGCACTTGGAGCTGTATTCTTAAGGCAATTTTACTTTTTAGTGTTTGTACTTTTTAGTGTTTGTAATGCAAGTCTGGATAGTGTTGTAGGTTTTGTACAAGTCCATATAATATTGTAGCAGAGAGGAAGTTGGTAGAGCTAGTCTCAATTAACTTACCTATTAACCTAGTCTCAGACTGATAATTATTGTTGCTTTTGAGTTTAATAGCCATGATAATTATTATTGTTGCTGCTGATACTATGTTGTTATATGCTCAATTGACTTCCCAGCAATAATTATTCCATGTTCTCATTTACTTTGTCATTGTTTAGGCTGAATATGATGATGTTGTAATGGAGTCCTTAAGTGGGGAAGATATGGAAGTCGAAGTGGATGCAAGTACAAGTAGTGTGGGTGCTGCTGATATTGGTTCAACTGCAACTCAAATTAAGTCACCGAAGGGAAAAGGCAGGAAGCTTACATCAAAAGTATGAGTTCAATTCAAGAGGCATGTGACGGATGAAAGATTCAAGGCATCATGTATCAAATGCGGGAAGACTTATCAATCTAAATCGCGTAGAAATGGAACAAGTGCGCTTCTCAGACATATGGAAAAACCATGCGGTGATAGAAAAGGTACTGCTCAACAACTATTGAATACAAATAGAGTTGGATTAGGAGAGAGTGATGAAGTAGTGTTAGGGAGCTGGAAGTTTGACCAATCCGCTATAAGGAAAGGATTGGCTTATATGATTATAGTGGATGAGTTACCTTTTAGATTTGTTGAATACTTGGGTTTCAAATATTTTATGTCGCTTGCTTGTCCCAGATTTGTACTCAGGATTGGCTCCGCGCAGACTCTAGTCCATGTGTAGTTGAAGAAGATTCACAGGAGATCGACAATATTGATGAAGGTAATGATGTCATTTTATGAATTTTAGAGTTGAGCATGGTGTTGAAGGCTATTGACATCTCTGATGTTCCACTTCCCCGTACCAATACCCCTTGTACGACTCCTAATGTACAAGCAAGTGCAAACACAAGAGGTAATTGATCTAATAATCTTCTTCATTCTCTTTTTTGTGGGTTGTTTTGCTAAGAAGAAAGCACAACTACTTAGTTAAAGTTCAGTTGACTATGTTGATAAGCCATACTATGTTGATAAGCCTTCATATTATTAACAGTTAGTTATACAATGCATAAAACTTTAATGTTGAACATACACATGCATGTATATATATAATGCCAACAAACCCACCTTTCTACAGAATGAAAACAACCATTGTAGATTCTGACCTCTTAGTCAAGGAACAGAAGCTCAAAAAGTTAGTTTTATAATACCTGCCTTTGGTAGGTTGTTATTCTGATCTTCCTGCTACAAGTCATACCTAGGATGAGCAACTACTACTTGACCAGCTGTATCTCCGATTAACATTGTCACTATGTTAATAGATGGAGTCTCCTTGCCAAGTTGTTTGTGAATTGTAGACTAGCTCAATAGACAAAAATGTTATCCACTTTTATCTGCCTAGTTTTATATACACAAAAGAACATGTGGCAAATCAGGTCCTGCATGCTTACATCTTCTTCCAATTCTTAGAGATCCATCAACATTAGCTATTGCTATCTGGAAGCGAGGCTTGGAGGGGTACACGAAAAAAGTAGATGCAGCGATCGAGGGCTGAAATGCAGCTGAATATCTAACTGAATTCACAGTTCCCAAGGCAGTTGTCATCTTCCTGAAGTTATGGTTTTTAATTACAGTTTGTAGTTTTGCTGCAGGATTCGGCCTTGTTTTAGCTACCATTTAGAGCTCAAGTTTATGGTGTTAGAACTTTGGAATGGTAATGGACCTGTTATCAGATCTACTTTAGTGGGTCTGCAAAAAAAATTATGCTTTGTTTTTGGAATCCTCTGTTTTCTGTTATGAGAAGAAGAAGATGGACCTCTTTATATTGCTCCAGAAAAGCATGCTCTCTTTAGATTTCTCTGTTACAATACTGGTTTAATTTATTGGACCTCATTTCTACAAAAAAAGTAGCATTACCTTTGTCAATGATAACTAGTACAACTCAACAGATTCGGATAGGAAAAGACAATATCTATTTGTTTCATTATGAATTGCGGTCAAACATGCGGTGCGGGCTAAACCGTACCAAACAGCTAAACTATGCGGTTTGGTTTGACTGCACCGATTATATTGCGGTCCAACATGCGATGCGGTCCAATTAATATGCGATGTGGTGCGGTTTATATCAAAGCGGTGCGGTGCATTGCAAACCGCACCAATGCCCACCCCTACTTGATACCCGATAGGCGGCTAGACCCCCTTGTGTCCCATCATACTCGACTCACCTAGGAAGATGACATGCTTGACCCCCCTTGGATGGTATCATGCTTGACCCCCTTGTACACTATGACATGGTAGGTTGTTGGCCGACAAGGGTCTTGATACTACCACGTCTAGGGGTACTCATGATAGCTCTCCTTGCACGACATGTGCTTGACCCCCCTTGGACGATGTCATGCTTGACTCCCTTGTGGTTGGGTCTCCATACTTGGCCAAATTCATGTTTTTCATGTCTTGGTACCAAGCCCTGCCCCCCTGGCCAAAGAATTCCATACTTAGCCAACTTTCATGTCTTTTGGTATCAAGCCTGCCTTGTCGGCTTGTTACCCCTTTTGCTCCATCTTTATCCAAATTCATGTCATAGTACCAAGCCCTCCTTGCCGGCATGATAACCTCTTGGCTCCATACTTAGCCAAATTCTATGTCATAGTACCAAGCCCTGCCTTGCCGGCTTGATACCCCGTCGTTGACCTCCTTACTTGGTACCCGGTCATTTGGCACCCAGTTGTGCCACCTTGTTTCCAGACTTAGTTTTTGGGAGCCAAATTTCATACCAAGGGGTGGAGGCATCATCCGGCTATGGGGGCCACGGAGACGGGTCGGCCATCGTATAGAGAAGAAGGAGTTTGGCCACTTAGGCCCAAAAACCCAACCTAATAAGGCCTAACTATCTCTTTTAGTTATTAATGTTGAGTTGACCTTATAAATCCATTAATCCTCTTGTAATTAATCGATGTGGTATAAGCTGATTTTGTTATGGGTAAACAAGTAGAATTTATCCAATACTTTGTCTTTTACTTATTATTAAGGGTTTTTTATCCTTTATAGAGTAGGATTTATTATCCTTTGTAGGTTTTTGGGTTCTTAGCCTATATAAAGGGGTCGAACCATTGTAATGAAAAGCATATTTCAGTTATCCAATATAGTGAGTGTTTACTTTCTTTTGAGAACGTTTGCTTAAATTTCTTTAGAGGATTCGGGAGGTTTGAGTAGAGGTGTCAATCGGGCGGGTTCGGGTTGGGTTCATTCGTGTTGCGGGTTGATCGGGTTGCGGGTCACTCGGGTTGCGGGCCAATCGGGCTGCGGTCCAATCGGGTTGCGGGTCGAGTAGGTCGGGTTGCGGGTTTTACGGACCAGCACATCGCGTTACTTTTTAGTGATTACTAGTAAGTCATAAATCGTAACTGTAACTTTTCCCTGCCTCACCATCATCGGCTTGCTCTTCTCATAATTATTTTCATCACTAGTTTGGATCATTTCTTTCTTCCGTTTGTTCCTCTCAATTACACACCCCCTCAACACTTTTCCCTGCCTCACCAACGCCCAATCCTTTCTCAATGTACCCACTGATGAGTTCTCTTGTTAGGTTATATCCTTGAGTCCGTTCCTGTATAAAAAACAATGTTGGGTGCTATATATGGCGGCACTCTACCTTGAAGCCTCTACTGATAAAAGATCAATGAAGGAAATTGATTGTTTGTGGTAGTCAACTAGAGATAAATGGGTACACGTAGCAGTAGCAACATAAATGAGATTGCGGAGGCGAAATCAAGTGATAAAAAACAAACCATCAATCAATATAAATAAAGGGAAAGTACTATACCTTGAAGTATTCATTATTCACTCATGCAAAAGACCTCATAACTTAAACTTCATACCCAGTTCACAAACCAAAGGAACATATCTGCAAATTATAAATAAATAAAACAAATGCGTATCCCGAAATCTGCAAATGTTTAGAAGCATGTAGGCCAATAAAAGGAGCACATGTGGATAGCAAAACAAATTATGTTTTTATTTTTTTATTTTAGCATCAGTTATTTGCATGCAAGATGTTTTGAGTTCTAAGTACGAATTGTTATCTTGATATAATGTTATAAGTTATTTGCATGCAAGATGTTTTGAGTTCTAAGTACGAAATGTTATCTTGATATAATGTTATAAGTTATTCTGTATATGTTAAATGAAAAGTTGAATAGTTGAATTGCAATTACTATTGTATAAAATATTACTAATTAGTCATTATGTAATATTTTATATTTTGATATCCCAAACTTAATTTTAATATAAAATCATTGAACAATTATGTTTTTTAAATCTAAATTTTATGAGATTTTCATATAAATTTACATATTGGTCTAATGTTTAGATTTCACCTAAATCCATGAATTCAATCCACCATAAAATACAAGTGTAAATTTAGTTAGTACATGAGAAGATTCGGCTATTTAATATTTGCTCATTATGTGAAACATTAAAAATAATCCAAATTAATATACTATTTTTATGTATTCTAATCAAAAGTATGAATGGATTCATACACGACTCACCAACAGTCTAGAGAATTAATAATTGAACCATTATCAAGTGTGATCTCTTGCGTCTTTACAACTCTGTTTTGTTTGATAATAATAGTTTATCGCCATTATAAAAAAATAATTGAACCATGAACCACTAACTTTTTCAGCTCAATGTCGACTCCAATTAAAAATAAATAAATATGGTTATTACTTATGAGAAAGTCGTCAGTTTCCACTATTGAATTTGAATGTGTGAAATTTTAAACGAGTTATAGTTTGTATTCCTTTTGCTTCTCTCTCTCGAGTTTTTCTTTTTCACCCGGGCTAGAATTTTCAACAATTATACATGGAATGTTTGGCAAGGTATCTACACATATCAAATAAATAGTTTCTATTTTTCTATAAAAAGTAAATAATTATCATCTTAAATACATCACCATAAAAGGAATTAAGTCTCAACTATGTAAATTACAATTTGGTACCTAAACTTAATAGATCTTTAGATTTATAACCTAATTTTTTTGGCATATAAGTCCTTAAATATTGATAGAACATTACATTTTAGAACCAAAATTTTTTGTGTATTACATATTGGTACCTAAACTTTTGAAGTTCTACAAATAGGTATGATTTTTGTATGTATAATTAAAACACCATCGAATAAATGGGTATCCACCCAACTCATGTACATTTAGATTATGAAAGTAAATATTCATACCCTACCCAAACTCATCTACAAACTTCTAAACCCGTATATACATCACTCATACCTTACCCATAATCAATGGGTCTACTTGGGTTTAGGTAAATATCATTTATTAGCCAAATTTTTCAAAAAAAAAATTGAATTGGATGTCGATCAGCATATATCTCTTCTCAGACAATATCATATTGTCAAGTCAAACAACTAATAAAAAAATAATTTTATACTAATAATACTAACAAAACACCATAACGGGCCACATAATACATGCCCATAGGCCATCTTCGCTCCGCGACAAATCGCGGCATCGCAACCTAGTTTACTAAAAAACGAACACGAACCCTGATGAAATCTTCATTTAACAACATCAATTTCATCTACTTAAACAGTTAACACCATCGACTAACAACATCAATAAAGGGTAAAAGAAAAGCACTTCGAACCGAAAAAAAGAAAACAAAATTTGCGCACCCCTACTTGCTAACTCGTTGATTATGGCTTCCTCTTCAGGATTCTTCACTCCCTCTTTTTTTCTTGATAATGGTGAAATTGCATTACCAAAAGGAAGTACACCAGGGGTGTAACAGTGTTCAGAGAAGGGAGGAAGATACAAGAAGGGCACCACAAGAGGTTCCTAGTGCCAGAAAAGTGGAAAAGAAAAGAAAAGAAAACAGAAGAAAGCCTGAACAGCAGGCTTTCGCAACCAAGAGCGCAACACACACTGATTGAACACACCAGGGCTAGGGGAAACACAGAAAAACAACATAGGTGATGAAGTCCCTCAGCCAAGTCTCTGTAAACCAGCTAGCTACCAAGGTGTACCACTGATTTACATCGGTAACACCTTGTGGGAGTCCCTCAGCCATAATACTCTCCACTGTTTTCCAAACTCCAAAGTGCTTGCTCTTTAGATCACACTTGAACTCTGCCCACTTCCGGCTAACAGCTTGCAAAATCCACTTGTCCAGATAGGCAGGATACCGAAACTTTGACTACACACAAGAAAACAAAAAAGAAACAACAACAATTACCAAGTGCAGCATCATGAAAGTACGAAGTGATATATTAGATCCTTAGCTAGCTACTGATCAATTAGTTCCCACAACAGATAGTTGAATAACAGTTTCATTGGTGTACAGTCCACTAGCTAGGTAGCTGCCATTGATGTAAATATTCTTGACCAAGCCAAAACGAAGAGATTTCAGAAATTACTACTGATCAAAACTCACTTGAAAATTAACGAGATCAAACCAAAGATGAGGAGCAACTATTCTCCACCAGCACAAAACACCATTGATGCCATATGCAGCCTTCTCTCTGACAGAGTAGTAAAGAAGCTTCTCTACATATATGTAGAAGTGGCAATTGGATCGGATTCGTGGATTGGATTGGTGGATTCATGGATCAAATGGATTGGATCAAATGGATTGGTGGATTGATCCATGAATCCAAATGACATCCAAGGCTTGGACCAAAATGTAAAATTTGAAAAGTTTTGGTACTAAAATGTCATAATGAAAAATTTTAGGTACCAAAATGTAATTTCCAATGTAATTTTTCATATAAAAATATAAATTTTAGGTACCAAAATGTAAAATATAAAAAATATAGGTACCAAATCATAATTTGCCATTTGGATCCATGGATTGATCCATGAATCCACCAATCCAATTGGATTTAAATGGATTGGATTAGGTGGATAATTTGGTGGATGAATTGGATTGGATTAATGGATTTGGATCCTAATTGCCACCTCTTCATATATGTATATAAGCCGTAGAGCTAGCTAGATGGAAACCATAATAATAGCTCTGGATGCTATATATGGGAAATGGAGAAGAGAAAGAACACTACTACTAAATCAGAAAGAGTGATGAAGCTCAAAAACTGGAGAAGGCAGAGAAGAGCGGCTCAAAAGGCTTGAGGAGGGTGAAAGTTGGAGAAGGAGAGTGTATTACCTTGGTGATTTTCAGTATTTGCCTGTGAAATGGTTTGAACTCTCTTCTTTTCCAATGCTCTATCGACAGTGGAGTCAAGGTGTTGTTCTTTGCAATCGTCCCAAGAAAGGATGCAAAAAGAGATGACTCGCCACCACACGGAACTCCAAATTCGTCAATCTCCAATTCGATCCTTTCACTTGCATCCATGTTCCATACATCTTGCACCCTCGTCTTTCCTCGTGTTTTCTGATTTTTGCCATTTTCACCTGACACCGAATGACAAATTAACGATTGTAACTACATGCCCATGACAGAAAATCATGACAGAAAAGTCAAAGGTTCACGCTGGGTTGACCTTTGTGAAAGCAAACCAAAGAACGGGCTTTTGATCCACAGGTTAATATCTTACATTCTAGTTTCTACTATGTCTTCAAGTTAATTGGCAGAGGAGGGCAAGCAAGGATGAAAGGAAGGGGTAAGTTTTGATATTCCATATAGTACCTATGCTAGCAGACCCTTCCTCATGTTGAGACCCTTCCTCATGTTGAGACGATGGGTGTCCATGCTGAAAACCCTCTTGAGCATCAGATTTAGTAACGTTTCTCAAATTTCTTAGATTCCTTGAAATTGAAACCATCTGCAGTCATGAAAACAACAACTGTAAGAGGAAAGGCATAAAGAGGCTGCAAAATGACCATCATGAACAAAAAAGTCGAAAAGGAGAAGCAGAAACCGAACTTATAACAAGAACAAGTTGATCAAATAACTCGAGTTGTTAAGAAAAACATCTCGAGGTTCAATAATAGATCTTGTAACACATTATAATACATGTATAGACTTGTTTAGTATGCAAACTTTGTGCTAAATATACTTCTGTCTTTTACTCTTTTTGCTTTATTAACCAAACCCAACTTCTTAACCACCTTCTTAGCAGTATAATGAGATTTTGGTAAGGATATACCTTTCGAAAATGCTTGCAGTAACAACTCAAGTAACATGGTGAAGGATTTTGAAGTCCAACCATTGTGAACCTTGAGGTGATATAAGTGCATCAGAAAAGATAGTTTTGAAAATGTCTTGCATCCCGGATATAGCTCCTCATCTCCATATTTTATCAAATCTTCTATTCCACATGTATTGTACAACGGATCATCCTTACTTCATCACCATTATTTTCTTCATCACTATCCTCCAAGACATTTCCATCATGTTCACAAGATGGTTCGTTGTTCACTAGGTCTTCACGGTGAAATACACCCCGAAATAGCCCCACCAAATCTGCTCTCATTGCTGCATTTGATTGAGTAGGGTTAGATAGCCTCTCCGTAGCCAAAACATTTGCCCATGGCGAGGAAGAAGTAGCAACATCACTAGCTTGAGGTGAACATAAAGCTTCTCCATGAAATACCCATGTAGTATATCCTCTTAGAATACCGTCACAAATGAGGTGCACCCAAATATCTTCACATGTTTGTGCATATTCATTTACACAATTGATACAAGGACACGATATCTTTGCTCCATGAGATGCATTTCGAAATGCATAATCTAGAAAAACTTGCACTCCGTCTTTATATTCATTGTTCGGTCTATGTTTCTTCATCTAGCTCTTGTCCATTTTGCCGATCATAGATATCACTACAAGTCAAAATGAATAGATTCTATAAATAAAAAGTTGGACCGGGATGAACTGAGTTGTTTGGCTCAAGAATAAAGCTTCCCTAATAAAACACCAAACTACTTCCAGAAGTTTAAGTAAAACAATGAGCTATAAAGCAAAAAAAAAAACTAAATTGTTGCCTCAATCACATCAATGAACAGCGCAGAGGAAGCAAGTTCGAGTTGTCGTCCATACATACGTTTGAATGAGGCTCATCAAATCATCTTCTCCATAGGTCGCATACTCACCCTTTGCATCAACTTCCCATGAGCGTTGAATTGCTGGAGGAAGAAAAAAACAAACAAACGAACAACCAACAAAAAATACCCTCTAGTCAGAGTAAGCAACAAAGAAGAACGAATTGAGAGCTCGCCCATAACTCTCACGTATGAGGAGGATGGTGCGAGGAAATATAAGAAAAACAACGACTTCGCCACCCAAAACCAGGTTCGGCGAGGACAAGCCCGAGCGAGGCGCCGACAACTCCTAGAGTCTAAACCCACGACGAAATTGAACCAATTCGCCCAAATCTGAAAGTGGGTAGTCGAAGAACACGAGTGTAGAGTCAGCGAAGTGATGATGGGCGATGTATTCGGATGCTCCAATCTAACTCCGATCGTTGATTCTATGATCTCACTCCGGCAGAATCGGCAAAATGGAATAAGGGTTTCTCGTATCGTGAAATGGCACAAGGGGCTGGAATTTGTTTTAAGTTCTAGCAAAGGAGCTGGACCTTTGAAAATAACCGTTGCTACCAAAAAAATGAAAAATGCAAAAGGGGAAACAGGGATGTTTTGCGTTTCGGTGAAATTTGCTTGAAGAGTAGCAAGGGTTCTAGAACCCTTGGAAAGAAGCTCTACTGCAAAAAATTCCGGAAAAATTAGCAAGGGTTTCAGAACCCTTGCTACGAAACCCTAGGCATAAGTCCATTTTTGTAGTGTATTGACCTTTTTTTCCCCACTTCTATCGTAACTCTTTCACTTCAGCATCAAAGTGCTCTTTATCAATAAAAAGAAAAGCAAAATGAACAACAAATAGCAGTCTATTCAATTGTAAAAGGACAGACAAAACATAACTTCCATGACTAAATTCAGAACCTGATAGACATCGAATGCCTCTTCCGAAATGAAGCAAAGAAGCTTTAGAAGTCGGTAAGATAAGGAGGAATCAACAGTAGGAGGAAATGGAGCCAAAGCCTAGGTTGTTTTTCAGTCACTCCATTCAGCCGCTAGCATATAACGAAAACAGAAACCATCGAGTTCTTACGCTTAAGGGAAAGACGGAAGACGGAGGAAATTGACTTATCGGTTATGGGGCGAACGGTAGGAGGGGTTTTGATGATGGTGATCTAGGAAAAGGGTTTAGGGTTCGTTAAAGTGACGATGAAATGGAGATGTTAAAGGGATACAAAATGGAAAAACATATGACTAATGGCCTGGTTGTTTAAATGGTCACAAATGGCTTCAGGAAGAAACCAAAAATTACCATACTTTACCACTATGGTATGTGGGTGGTAACTTGTGGTAACTTGTAGTAAACAATGATGAAAGTCGTAAATGACAGTTAGTTGTTCATACCATCATGGTACGCTTTCTTACTATATGGTATTAAATAGGAGAATACCATATGGTAATGACTGGTAAAAAATTATTCAATTTTTTTGTACTAAAAATATATCAAAGTGGATATCATTTTAAAGAGAACATTTAATCTGATTGATCTGTGCGAAAAAAATAATTAAATTTCGACTTAAAACGAGAGAGTAATCGTCCGTTAAAGAATAAAGGGGAGTAGATAAAAGAATTTCCAGAAGAGAGGGGACACTAATGCTGATGTGAACAGATTACTAATGATTACTGACTGCCATATATCTATAAGATATATGAAGGCAAAACAAGGGTTGGCTTTTCAGGGATTCAAAATTGCAGCTCCCAGAGGGTTTGTCGGAGGGGCACTATGGTCAATTCTCAATTAAATTAAGCTGTGCGTTTGACCCATTACACTTTCGGCTGGTCGAACGGGCCAGGGCATTATATAGCCGGCCCAAACTCTCGCCCCCTGAAGCAGATGAAATGGGCCCAAGTCTCTCCTCACACCAGCATGCAAACGCTTCCCTCGAAACCCATTTCAGCTGCCGTGAAAATCCATGTCCTGTTGAGTGTTGACTTCCTTCTCCGTGTCGCTTTCGGTCCCAAACCCTGCAACTCAACACCACATCTGTCTAACCACAATCCCCTTCGTCGTCGCCTCCCCCTGTTTCCCATATCAAGCTCTGTTTTCTTCTTCTCCTTTCTCCTTCAACAGTTCCACCCCTAATCATTTTCTTTTTCATTCTTTCTTCACCTTAAGTTCCCTAAGAATCAGTCTGGCGGCCAACGACCTGCTTCGTTGTGTGATTGGGGGCAGCTTGCTTAACCCATCTACTAAATCGAATAAGGTCTGAACACAGCTCCTAGAGAGATCGTCTTTTGGTAGGTTATCTTTATCATGCTGCTGTAATTCTGATTGATAAAACAATCAAGGCTTTATGCTTCTTAAAGTTTGTTTACCTCCCTATTCTCTTTATTTATAGTTCCTGGATGGTTGTCAAGGTGTTGGAACCAGCTGAGGTAGTAATGTATGAAATGTTGAATCTTAACGGGACCATTACTAATAAAAAGAAAGCACTTGATTTTTAGTGGTTTCATTCAATCTGTGCATTTGACAATGAGTTTGAATGATTAAATCATGATTAAAACTTCCCTTTTGTTCAGTTGGTTGGTGCTTATTGCATTGATTCGTGTGTTGTTCTCCTTGGAGCTTCTGCAGCTACTAATGAAAGTTTCAATTTCCGAGGAAGTTACCTGTTGAATACTAGTTTCATTGACCCAATCTATGTAGCTTTACAATCCACATTGGTGAGAAGCAACATGGAAGATATGGATTTGTTATTATTACATTGTCATATTACATAATAACATATAGTGAGTGATGGCATCTCTTATGCACTTGAACAGCTTTGCATGTGGTCTTTGTGTCATGTAATTTTTATTTTACCCTTTAAATTATATTCCTAATTGAATTCATTGATATGTTCAGCTTAAGTTACTTCAACATGGCCATCCTTCTTCAATATGTTGCCCATGTTTTTGTTATGCAAGCTTGGGGAGGACAAGCGCAGGCATGACTAACTCTTTGCCAATTAGAGTTTGAAGTTGAATCAGCTAGAGCCTTGGAGTATACAAAATTAAATCCTTTATCTCTAGCTCTTTCTTTGCTCAATAAGTGACTACTGACTTTAGTGGTGTACTAATTAAACCTTTATTTTTAATCAATTAGACCTTTCTGTTTGGTTCATGCTTAAGTGTCAATGCAATCAAGACTATGTCCTGAAATCAACAAACTGGTGGACCCTTTTCGTTACAGACCTATGCTCGCCACCGTCGTCATTCAAGGGGCCAATGTAATTTGATTCCTTTGGTTTTTTCCATGTCCAGTTGTTACTGTACTTATTCAACATGGACACAAGATATAAGCCCTCCCTCAATCCCGTGTTCTTTTGCAGGGTTCATGCGAGCTATATTCAACCAGCCAAAACCTCCTTCCAGACAACAAACCGCTGTTGAAAGGGATCGTCTTAATCAACGTAGTCACGCGACTCATGTTTAGTACATTAAATTAAATTTTAATGTGTTACAAAATCGTAATAATTTGATATGTATTTTTCAATTGCAGAAATACTCACCCTTCAAGCACAAGTGCACCATATTGATCGCTTGATTGCTCAATTCTATCGAAAACGACGACGAGAGATTTTGAACACGCACTTGAGACGTGCTGTTCAACATATTCCACATGGTAATCTTAGCATCTTTTAAACGTGGTTATTTATTTTGTAAGGTGTAGTATAGAATATTTTGCATTCTCATAACATATTCAATATGTGCCTTGCGTTATATATGTCACAGAGAAGGATTCTATGTCGTACTAATGGATTGAGTACATGAAACTCAACTTTGGTACAACAGATTATACTTCATGTATCTCCCGCTTTCGGACAAAACGGGCACGTTTAATGCGATCAATTCATTTGTACAAAAGGCGGATGGTTAATGCTGTACAGAGGGGTTTTTCCGTTCTCATGGTTTGTGACTTCATATTTTATATTCTTACACTGTAAATACTTCTTCATTATTTGTGAGTTGTCTTATGTAACTACTTTGATTGTAGGATATCCTGTTGTGGAACTTTTTAGTCTTGGTGAGCCTACAAGCATTTGTCAATATTGTGCAGCAATTATGTGGTTGCAAGAAAGTACGGTTCCTACTAGGAATCGTGTCAATCCTGATTTCTCATTGTGTTGCAAAGCAGGAAAGGTCAAACTACCACCCAGACGTGCTCCGCCAGAATTTTTGAATGAATTGTTACACTCTTCTACACCTATGAGCCGTCATTTCCGGGAAGCCATCCGTAGATACAATGCTGTGTTTTGCTTCATCTCCCTGGGCGGGAAAGTGGATCGTGGGATAAATGATGGTCGAGGGGTGTATGTCTACTCTATAGGTGGCCAAATTTATCACTCTATAGGCAGCTTATTACCTGCAGAAGGTCATCCACCGAGGTTTGCCCAATTATACATTCATGACTCAAGTTCTGAACTGCAGAGTCGTCTGCAGCTATTTCCAATTGATGATCAATCCAGTTCATTGCGACCAGAGATTGTTGAAAGATTGCAAGAAATGTTTGATAGAAAAAATGTTCTGGTCCAAACCTTCCAGATGGCTAGGCAAAAGATGCAGGAAGGCAATGTGAAAGAGGTGAAGATCAAATTAATTGCCAAACGTACTCATGATGGGAGAGAATATGATTTACCGACGGGGAATGACATAGCAACATTGATTGTTGATGAAACAGTTCAAGGTACATTTGAGCCAGATATTATTGTCCAGTATAAGAGTTCTCAACTTGAGAGAATTAATTATCATCATCCATCATTAATGGCGTTACAATACCCAATTTTATTTCCTTATGGAGAGGATGGATGGCATCCGGACATAAGCTGTGATGATGATGATGATGATAATCTTTGGAATGACAATACTTTGTCCCAGTGTGATTATTATGCATATCGCCTACAGAGTAGATTTCAGGAGTCAAATTCGGTGTTATTATCTGGGAAATTATTTCAGCAGTATGTTGTGAATGCTTACGCATTAGTAGAAGCACAACGGCTTGATTGGATCCGCAATAACCAATCTAAGCTTCATTCCCATTATCTTAGTGGGTTGGTGGATGCGTTTCTACGTGGCTACTCTGATTTAGAAATGACTGGAAAACATGTGATTTTGGCTGCTTCCCACACAGGAAGTCCACGGTACAAGTATGAAAATTTCCAGAATGCTATGGCTATTTGTAGGTGGCTGGGGTACCCTGATTTATTTATTACTGTCACATGTAATGCAAATTGGTCGGAAATTCAATTTATGGTGGATTTGGTAACCGCAGATGGTCGGAAAGATGTCAATAGATCTGATTATTATTGCTCGAGTCTTCAAGTTTAAACTGCAGCAGCTAATGTCTGAGATAAGAGATAAGAAAATATTTGGGACTACCACTGGATGTAAGTCGTAAATGCTACATAGTTGTTATTTTATTTTATGATCGATACTTTTGTTTCATATGATTAATTATTTTGTGAGGTTTGTCATTTACCCTGCGGACGTTACCAAAACAATTTTTAACTGTAAGTTACCAAAACAAATTAAATGTTTTCAATTGAGTTCATCTCATATACCATTCTTGCAACACATTACCGATGCGATGCTTATTATTATGTTTGCAAGATTACATCCCAATTGTTTAATTTCAGCTTCCCTTATAAACACTTTAACCGAACAATTTTTAACTGAAAGTTACCAAAAATTAATACGTTTTCAATTGAGTTCATGTTCCAACATTTATCAAATGATACGATTATGTTTAGTTTACCCGCCCAACGGGCCGGGCCCGGCGCTAGTATATAAATAAAAGCATTGTCGGATCTTATCTTTATAATTTAGAAATATTACCTATTCCTTACACATTTACACCAATAGAGATCACATTAACTCACTTATATTCATGTATATAATATATCTTTCACACAACCTAATCAATTAACTAATTCATACAAACTCTTTACCTTCAATTACGAACCACACAAGCTGGCCTTGGTGACCTTTTCCCTTCATCGTCGTGTGAGTTACAAGTTGCCCCTTTCTCACGTACATCGATCTCATAACAAGTTCATTTCGACGCCAAGAAAGGGCAGCTTGGAGCTCCCGTACTAGTAGACGACACAGAACCACCCGACCCTTTAGTACCACCTCTCATAAGCCCACCAAGCAACTCTCCACGATCGAAAAAGAACTCCACTTTCTCCACACTCATCTTCTCGTCCACATGAAAGATTCCAATCCCAAACAACTCCACCAGCTCTCCCGTTGGAGGGTACCCTTGGAAAGGACCCTCCATGTACCCCCAGTGCCTGAACTTGTAGGCGATCACCGGCGGGCCGGAGTAAACTTGGAGCACTTCCAGAGCAAACCCACGAGGGAATGTCGTTCTGAAGGCCAGATGAGCTGATTCCACTGTCTCCACCGCAGGGTTGTAGCCTCTTAGCTCTTCCGGCAAGGATGTCTGCAAAAATGAATTGTAGCCGCCTCCTATCTTCCGAGTCTCTTCCAGGGTTATCGGCTTCCTTCCTAACCACCGTTCAAAGGGCCGGGTTTGCCAAAAAAATGTGATATATAGTTGACTATTAATTTAATGTCCATGTATCCAAATATCATATCTACCATTGATCGTTTTGTGACTATCAAAATATTATTTTGTTTCAATTAGTAGGGTTGTTAGGAGAGATGTCATGACTAAATTTTGTATAGTTTCTTCAAATTTTATGAAGACTATGTGTATTATTAACAAAACCATACAAATGTTTACATAGAAGATAGAACACAAAGACTCTGCACATTAATTTGGAAGACACATAACTTCTAGAACAAGGAATAATGAAACTCAAACTAATTTAAGTTATATACATAGTACCATTCACATTCTAGCAGTGTGATATCTGTAGCTAACCCAGTCACTACTATTAAGGATCGTAAAGATTTGAACACGAGACATTTTGATCTAACCAGTACTTAGACGTATTTGAATCCTCGGTTTGATATTAGTAGGGAAAAAGTTTATCCATGTCTAACAGAAGTCTTATGGTGGAGGAGAGAGGTGTTGGTAATTTACCATTGAGGCTTTTGGTGTATGTGTTGGGATCGACTAGGGTCTTGTGGTCAGCAAAACGTGTTTTGTTGAACATCTCCATTTCCCAGGTCTTGACCATGTTCTGGACTTGTTCTTCCAGGGATCCTGGAGGCCACACCTGGCATACAATGGAACAAACAGATCAGGAGGTAATTCCATGATCACCATTAAGACAGAGGATGAGAATTAATCAATGAGAAGTGAAGCAGTAGGGGATTTTTGGGTAATGTAATTTTGCCTTGGTCCTTCCTTCTTCAAAGAGCTTGTTGACAGAGTCGTAATTGGGAGGGGCACCATCCCTCCACTTGGTGTTCTTCTCTGCCTCCCCTGACAAGTGGCTTCTGTACTTGTCTCCTCCCTCTGAGTCTCCCATATTTGTTTCTGGACTCAATAATAAGAAGCTTAATTATGTTATAGCTGAGAAAGGAATAAGGAGCTGTTGGAATTCTGATGAGTTTTTGGACTAGGGTGTAGATATTATAACTCTGTTGCACTGTTTAGAGCAATCATGGCGACAGCCACACAGTGGCAAAGTTTGACCAGGTTCTGTGCTTCTGGTTGATCTTTGTAGTGGGGTTCAATTCCAAGGTGGTAGTGCGTTGTTTTGTGGTTTTCTCAGCAAGAGAAACAAAGATGACATTTTGATAATATCCGTTTACTTTTCTTTTACTAGGATGTGTGGTGTGGAGCTCGCAATTTCTTTTGGTCTTTGAAGTCCTTGGCTGAATATTACAATTTCTTTTGGAGCTCACAGTTTGTGTGGATGTTAGACACCAATTTCGTCACAGAACTGGTAGTTATACACATTTTGGCAAATGAAGTTGTATTCGGTGGCGGACCAAGAAATGTTAGAGGTGTGTAAGTCGATAAAAATAAGATATAAATACATAAAAATCTAATTCATAGAGTACACAATTTTATTGTTTTGTTTTTTGCAACAAGCAACAAACTGGAGAATGGTGTTGTACTTTTGAACATAATTTTTCTTTGAAGCGAATACAAAAGGAAGTAATATGATATTTACGAAATTACATCTGGCTGGTGCAATTGTACACAAAAACATAAATCATGATACATTTGGCGGTAAGACACAACAGAGAAGCATTACAAATAACATCTAAATTCACCACAGCTGCAATGAAGGTCAATGGATGCAATCCGATGTAATCAATCAAGTCTGCTCAATTAAGCGAAGCTATCCAAGTCTCCAAACAAAACAATAACAATGGAAACTCGGGGTGTAATTGTTATATGGGTAATGGGGAGGAAGACCAGGTTTATCTCTGCCAACGAAAAACCACTATCCTATCTCAATCTTTCAGCTGCCGAACCTGTATACAGTATACTCAACCTCCATCCACCGGCAAATGAACTCTACTAAAGAAAAGAGACATCTTTTCACCTTGCAACAATGGAAAAATCAGCCATTGATTAGAGCAATCTAGATCGATGTAGGATCCAAGCTGGAAACGAAGAGCAACCCAATTTCATTTAGCTTCTACCCAATTGGAAAACAAAAAACCAAAGCACAAATAAATAAATAAATGTAAAAGCAAGGAATGGATCAGAACATAGGCTTGAATATCTCCATAGTAGATAAATTTCGCACAGTATAATCAGCTTCGATCATCTGGGGAAAGTATCATCACATCCACACAACGAAACCCTAATTTGAAAACACAACAGCTAAAATTGATCCAAAATTCAGAAATCATCAAAAGGGGGATTGGGGTGAAAACCATCAGAAACCTAAAAAGAATCCCCAGAAGCAGCGTTGAAGCTACTGTACGGTCCGCATCATGGTTCGGGGCAGGTTTTCGCCGCCCCGTATCACCTGGTTTTCGCCTCCAATTCCAAAGTCAAATTATCCGCCATTGGTTTGTTTAAAAATGAGAAAACTTGAAGAGGAAAGAAAGGGGAAGCTCAGATGTTGTATGGGTAAGAGAAGTGTCTCAGCACATTAAAATCAGAGTGGTGCATGACTTTCTCAAGCATATCCTCATAGCTCCCCGCAGGCCGCAGGGGCCTCCCCTAAAACTAATTCGCATCATAAACAAAGATTTGAGAACAAGAAATCGATCATTGCTGATGAAGCTGAACAAAGCAGAGCTGATTAACACCTTCTATAGGAGATAGGACAGGCAAAACTGAATATGATTTCGATTTTTGATTCAGAAGAACAGATGGAGGTTCCAATATATAGGCGCATAAATAAACCCTAATCCAATGAATCACCTGCAGCACGGCTGCCCCTTTTCTGAACTTCCGTCACTGCCAAGGTTGTTAAACCCCTATCGAACCCCCGGTTGGACCCGGTTCAACCCTAGTCGGGCTTCAAAACGGCCTCCATAAAACCCCCCGGTCTGACCCTAAACAGGGAGAAGAAGAGAGGCAGAAAAGAGGAAAAGGAACGAAGGAAGGGAAATGGTAGGTGGATCATGGAGGTTAGGTAGATTTATTTTGTTGAAAATAAGTTTTTAATAGATATATGTAAGATAAATTTTATTTCACTCATTAAATTTTTAATTACTACTTTATTTGTATATATATTTAGAAAACGTCTAAAACGGCTCAAACCGGCCGGACCCCGATCAGACCATTAAACCTCAAACCCCTTACTTGACCGGCTCAATGACTTAAACCGGTTTGACAACCTTGGTCACTGCCCAGTGCCCACCGATGAGTAGAGAGATTCGGGCCAGACTACTCCAAACTCGGCCCAAAACCAGTCAAATATATTAATTTTTTTGTGTAAAGTCAAATATTTTCCAAGTCAGCCGTCTAAAATTATATATTGAAAACAATCTAAATATTTTAACTTTTTGGATTGTCGAAAAAAATATATTTATTTTTGATAACTGTTATTATTAATATTAAATAAAGATACAAATACAAATTTTATATTAAGTAACATTTCTATCCATAATAAAAAAAATTAGATTGGTTCGAGAAATATTGGCACTTTATTTGTATGCATATTTAGTGATAAATATACGGAAAGAGAAGAAATAAAGTAGCATTGTAGGAGGAAAAAAAATCTCACGAATCAATATATGGAATCTCTCTAATTATAAGAGATTTGATATCCGCATAACCAAGCTGCTCTCGTAGCACCGGTTCGGAGATTTGATTCTTCCCGAGAGCAACTCCTCCATCGCCAACTGCCCCATGACTGCCGCTCCAGCTACTTGTTTAAGCAGGCAAGTCTCGTAGTAAAGAGGGGCCTCCATAAGTTCCCGACGAGAGGCGGTGTCCATGTCCATACCTCCAGCTGCTTGCTTAAGCAGGCAGGTCTCGTAGCAGAGACGAGGAGAGGTGGTGTCCATCGCCGCCTATCAACATCCTGCTGAATCATTTTAGTGATTAGAAATCTCTAAATATGAAATTAACAAAAAAAAAACACAAATTTCTACAAATTTTAATAATTTAGTGTATCTATGACCGAAATCCTTTTCTCCAAATACTCCTTAGTGATGGCAATGGAGCGGAGCACGACGAGTAAGTTAATACTCATTCCAGTTCCACATTAAGTGGGGTCACGTCGGATAATACTCGTGCAGATATAGGGTGCGCCGACCTATTTTTATATGTTATTCAAAGTCAATATTTAACTGAACAAATAAAGAAAACACTTCATAAACAAATGATAAATATAATAGAAGGAATAATTGAGTCTAAATAGTTGAAAGATAGAGTTTTAAAAATTCTTTTTGGCCGAAAATATGATTTTTGAAAGGTTAAAAGAGGAGAAATATCTACGTATAAATATTGATACAGATCATACTAGAATGAGTCAAGAATGGGGAAGGGTGGGGCTGGTCCCAAACAATACCTATACCTTGCCTAACGCTAATGCGGGTCGAGTAATATCTGCCAAAAAAGGTCAGGACAGGTCAGAAATTGCCATCACTACCTATGGTCAGCATGCAATTATAATCGTTGGATTTCACTTTTCACATTTTCATGATCGTTGGATGCGTACAGATGTAGCAAACATGCACTATGACAAGCTCATTACGAGGAGGCGAGACTATATTTGAATGCAATTGAAAGACCACTAGACTGCTCTTGTTCTGCTTCATATCTCCTACATTTATATAAGCTCAAATTGCATGAGCAAAAGATGACTCGGAGAAAAATCTAGGATTAAATAGATGTGAATGTTATTCTTATGATTTCCGTTTCACGAATATCAATATTCTATTATAACTAACTGAAAGACATCTGAATTCCAAAAAGAAGGATAAGTGGGTTGAACAATCGTGAACCTCCCAAAATTGTCTGCCTTGGATTATTCCCAAATCCTAGGCACCACATACTATACCTACATCCATCTACAAGGAAGTATGGCCAATTGTATATCAGACATTGTGGGGGTCAAAACAAGTGAATTCCAATGAATAAGGAAAAAGAATCAGATGGCTCAGTTTTGCACATAATAACTTACAGCATATTGGAGAAGGTACTGCTATGGTGTTAGTAATGGAGAAGCACCACCTACAAAATCGAAGCTCATGACAGGAAACAGTTGAGAAACACTACATATGAAAGTCAAACCACATTGGTAAGTAAGGCTAGAACCAATTCTCGAATACCCATCTCAAAATTTCCATGACAAGCCAAGCCTTCCATAGTAAAAATTTTCAACCCTGGAACAAACAAGGTAACATGGTGCTCCCTACTGATTGTCGGAATTGCAGATTGTGAAACTGCTGCTGTAACCTGAAATTCAAAACATATAATATGTTATATAACATTCATAAAATAAGCCAGAACCCACAATCTTATAGCTCCAAGACAACTGACTGAAAGACATCTGAATTCCAAAAAGAAAAATAAAGTGGATTGGAGAATCGTTAACCTCCCTAAATTGTCAGCATTGGATTCTTCCCAAAGCCTAGGCACCACATACCAGCTACATACCACTACAAAGAATGGCCAATGGTGTATCATACATTGTGGGGTCAAAACAAGTGAATTCCAATGAATAAGGAAAAAGAATCAGATGACTCAGGTTTGCACATTACAACTTATAGCAAATTGGATAAGGACTCCTCTGGTGTTAGTACTAGAGAAGCACCACCCTCAAAATTGAAAATCCAAACAGGAAACAAATGAGAAATACTGCATATGAAAGTCAAACGACATTGGTGAGTAAGGTTAGTGTGAAGTTAGAAGAAACATAACCAATTCGCCAATACCCATCTCAGAATTTCCATGGAAAGCCAAGCCTTGCATAGCAGAAATTTTCAAACCTAGAAATGACAAGGTAACATTGGATCTCCCTACTGATTGTCGGAATTGCATATTGCAAAACTGTTTCTATAACATCAAATTGAAAACAAATAATATGTTATATAACATTCTTAAAAGACATCTGAATTCCAAAAAGAAAGATAAGTGGGTTTGAGAATCATTAACCTTCCAAAATTGTCAGCCTTGGATTCTTCCCAAATTCAAGGAAACACATACCAGCTACATCCCACTACAAGGAAGTATGGTCAATGGTGTATCAGACATTGTGAAGGTCAAAACAATTGCATTCCAATGAATAAGGAAAAAGAATCAGTTGACTCAGGTTTGTACATAACAACTTACAACATATTGGAGAAGATACTGCTCTGGTGTTAGTACTAGAGAAGCACCACCAGAAAAATTGAAGGTCACGATAGGAAATAGATGAGAATCACTACATATGAAAGTCAATCCGCATTGGTAAGTAAGGCCAGTGTGAGCAAGAAGAAACATAACAAATTCTCCAATACCCATCTTAGAATTTTCATGGCAAGCCAAGCCTTCTATAGTTGAAATTTTCAAACTTGGAACTGACAAGGTAACATTGGTGCTCCCTGATGATTGTCGGAATTGCAAATTGGGAAAATATTGTTGTAACGTGAAAATCAAAACATATCATATGTTATTGGTTTTTAGCACAAAGAAAATATCATCCACGAGCAACTTATATGTCATGGTTGCAGAAACTAACTTTAACCAAGAGTGAGTTCAACTTTTCAACGCTTTATCTAATTCCTTCCTATGGATCCAATATGCTACGAATGTTACTTACAATGAGGAAAATTCGATCATAAGCCTCTTCCACTAGGAAGGCATATGTTGTCTCAGTATAAAAAAGTCACATGATTTTGTGACCGTGAAAACACTAATGGATCAACAGGAAGTATTCGTCCATTCACTGCAATGCTCTGCAGATACACATGGTAAAGATGCATGCCAATTTAAGTAGGAACCTGTGTCAAGATCCCTATATTTATGTTCAAGTGAATAGCAGTTGCTCACTGTTTCGTAATAGATTATAAGTCTTGTGATGCCAAAGACTTAGATAGTACAGAGATAATAACATACACAAGATGAAGAGTAACAACCATAAAAGGAAAGGAGAAAAATACTCACTTTGATGGGACAAGGGGGGTATATATGATGCTTGGCTCCAAAATCGTTCCTAAGACAAAAAGACCCACCTCTAGTCCCTTCTCCTTTTAAGCAACGAGAGAAGACTCGTGGTATCAATCATCTCTAGGACAATTGAGAGAAAACCGAGAGATCTCCACGCGCAAAACCGAGAATTTCGTCAACCGCAAAGTCTGTGCTACTATTTCATAATTGCATAAAACATTTACTACACTATCTCCGAGAAACAATGGATATGGGATACGTAGATGTTGGATATGTGTCCGGTCCACATAATGGTCGATCACAAACTGGTTATTTGTTTACATATGGAAATGCAACCATTTCATGAAGATCCATAATACAAACTATAACAGCTACATCTTCTAATCATGCAAAAAATTTAGCGATACAAGAAGCAAGTCGTGAATATGTTTGGTTGAGATCCATGATTAGAAACATCAAAGTGACTTGCGGGTTTTCTCCTGGAGAGTTGATCCCGACTGTCATGTATGAGGATAATGCGTCATGTATAACCACATTTGAAGGAAGGATATATCAAAGGGGACAACAAAACATATTTCGCCCAAAATTTTCTTCACTCATGATCTTCAAAAGAATGGTAAAGTACTGCAAATTCGTTCATGTGATAATCTGGCCGATTTATTCGCAAAGTCATTTCCTACTTCAACATTTGAGAAGCTATTTCACAAGATTGGAGTTTGGCAACTCAAAGATCTTCAATGATGTTATGATGAGGGGGAGTAGATACGCACTGTACTCTTTTCTCCTTAACTTTGGTTTTTCTCACTGGGTTTACCTAGGAAGGTTTTTAATGAGGTAGTATTCAAAAGCGTATTACAAATAAAGTACTCTTGAACTATTGGCATCCAAGGGGGAGTGTTATAATATTATGTATTAGTGGATGTCCATCCTCCACATCACCATCTTCCCAACTTCCTCTTAGTAACATTGATGATATAGGCTTTCTTCTTGCCTATAAAAGGAATGCAATTGAAGAAGAGAAGACACCAAAAGCATAAAAAGCTTATACACTCCTCTCTAGTGGCGGACCCAAGATTATTGGATAGGTTTGTCGGCAGATAAAAGTAATTACTAATTAATTAAAAATTAACATAAAAATTGTATTCATAAATTTCATAATTTCATTATTCATTACAAAGCACGACGAATTTTCATATGATAAAAGGTTTCTTAATTATATTTGTAATTGTGTTATAAATCAAACGTATCTGGGTGCGCCTATGGTGCCTTGCAAGTCACCGTAACTTGCACTTTTCGGTCGACCTATTCCTAACAGAGGTCGACAAAATACACTAATGTGGGCACCCTGATGACTTATCACGGTCGATCTTTAAAATGTAGTGGTCGACCGTTTTTAGTTTAAGTTGTCATTGTCGGACGACCACAATAAAACATCGGTCGTACGAATTACGTTTCAAACCAACAAAATCAGTCATGAATCATGATAGCAAGGACTCATATCTTCATAACATAAAAACTAAACAAACTAACAAGAAATACATTAAAACACACATCATAATTGTTCACACATAGCTAAAATCTAAAATCACATAATATCAATCCACAATCGTTTTTAAGACTTAACAACAAAAACACACAATCTAAAATCGTCGAGTTCCTACTCCTCTCCCTTTCTCCCTTATCCGCATTTTCTTCATTGGTGGTGCTAACATTATGGTAGTCGGATGTGGTGTGATGCATGTATCTTCCACGGAAGATTGGAGCTCATCTCGCATCTCATTCACGGTCACCTATAGTGTGCTCATCAGAGTGGTCATTTGCCCCTTGTAGTCATACGTGCCAGTCATCTGGGTGGACATCTTCCCCATGTAGTCGTACATGCCATCCATGCGCTACCATATACGCTCTAAGG